ATGCAGCTGACCCGGGCTCATTCCCCATCACCCACAGGTTCCCAAGTCGTGCATGAGGAGTTCAATGAGCACAGAGCCAGGAGTAGTTGCTGAGCAATGCCAGGTGTAGCCTCCAACCAAAAAGAAATAAATGGATGGGCTGGAGCTACAATCTGGTAGAGCCTTGGCCTTGCACACAGCTGACCTGGGTTCCGTCCCAGCACCCCACTGGATACCTACCATAAACAGCAACCACAAAAACCAAATGGGAAAAAAAAAAAGTGTGTGTGTCAACCTCCCTCTCCCCCGACCCTGCCTCCAGTTTTTTTTTTTTTTTTTGCTTTTTTGGGTCACACCCGGCGATGCACAGGAGGAGTTACTCCTGATTCATGCACTCAGGAATTACTCCTGACGGTGCTCGGGGGACCATATGGGATGCTGGGAATCGAACCCGGGTTGGCCGCGTGCAAGGCAAACGCCCTACCTGCTGTGCTATTGCTCCAGCACCCCCCTGCCTCCAGTTTTGTAGGACACAAGTTTGGGTTTTAGGGCCACAGCTGGCAGAACTCTGGGATTATTCAGGAAGGTGCTTGGGGGACCCTGCATTGTGCCAGAGATTGCCCCGTGGCAGGCTGCTTGCAAGACCAGGACCTGCACTCTCTCTAACCCCGAAACTAAAATTCTATATAAATCCTGTGAACCTTGTGAGGACACAGACGGGCATGCCGGGTGGGGGTTTGGGGGGGTTGTGGAAAGATGCGGTCCAGCTCCTAAGATGCCATGGCAGGACTGCTGGTGCTTGGGGTTCCCAGTATGATGCCAGTATGAAGCACAGGCTACAATTTCAAAGGTTTTACAGGGTCCATAAAGAGAAACCAGTGGGCAGGGAACTTGCGTGCATGCAGCTGACTCAACTTCACACCCTGAATTCCCAAAGAGTGATCCTGAGCACTGCTGGGTGTGGCAGAAATCCCCAACCACCTCCCCCACCACACACACACACACACACACACACACACACACACACACACACACACACACACACACACAAATAAAAGCGAAAAGGAAGTTGTCTGCCAACAGTGACGGTCTGGAGTCCAGGAGTATATTCTCAAGAGTCAGTTCTGGTTTTTTTTTTTTTTTTTTTTTGCTTTTTGGGTCGCACCCGGCGATGCTCAGGGGTTACTCCTGGCTCTGCACTCAGGAGTTACTCCTGGCGGTGCTCAGGGGACCCTATGGGATGCTGGGAATCAAACCCGGTCAGCCACATGCAAGGCAAATGCCCTACCCGCTGTGCTATTGCTCCAGCCCTGGTTTCTTTTTTTCTTTTTTTTGTTTTGCTTTTTGGGTTACACCCGGCGATGCACAGGGGTTACTCCTGGCTCTTCACTCAGGAAATATCCCTGGCGGTGCTCAGGGGACCATATGGGATGCTGGGAATCGAACCCGGGCTGGCCGCGTGCAAGGCAAACGCCCTACCCGCTGTGCTATCACTCCAGCACCCCCCCCCCCCCCCCGCCAAAAGAAATCTTAATGGTGAAAGTCTGTCATTTTATTTAGTATCCAACTCTTTCTTTTCCTCCTGACGGTATTTCGTTGAAAGTATTCCAGAACAGGGACTGGAGTGATAGCACAGCGGGTAGGGCGTTTGCCTTGCACGCGGCCGACCCGGGTTCAATTCCCAGCATCCCATGTGGTCCCCTGAGCACCGCCAGGAGTAATTCCTGAGTGCAGAGTCAGGAGTAACCCCTGTGCATTGCCAGGTGTGACGCAAAAAAAAAAAAAAGTATTCCAGAACATTTATATTTAAGAACTTAAACAATAAATGTATCAACAGTGGGGCAGGAGAGAGCACACCAGATTGGAGTGGATGGCAGCCAGCTGCAAGCCCGGGGATGGCCTTATCTAGTACCCACTGTCCACTGGGACCCTGAGCACAGAGCAGGAAGCAGCCCTTAAGCAGTGTCAGGTGTGGCCCCAAATCCCACCCCACCACAGGTAAGCTGCATGCAAGGAAAAGCACCCTACTAACTGAACCATCATTATAGCCATATATATATGTATATATATATACATATATATATTTTTAATTTGGGGGGTGGTTAGCCCACACCTGGAGATGCTCAGGGGATTCCTGGTGTGCAGGGGATCAAACCCTGGTCTGCAGTAAGACAAATATCCTCCTGGCTGTAGAACTGCAAAGGCATCTAGAGTGAGACATTTATAACCCAGTGCAGCTGGTCCCTGGAAACCCCCTTTCTGGGGCTGGAGAGATACCACAGCGGATAGGGCGTTTGCCTTGCACGCGGCCAACCCGGGTTCGATTCCCAGCATCCCATATGGTCCCCTGAGCACCGCCAGGGGTGATTCCTGAGTGCAGAGCCAGGAGTAACCCCTGTGCATTGCTGGGTGTGACCCAGAAAAGAAAAAAAAAGAAAGAAAACCCCCTTTCTGAATGAACTCCCTCCAACAATAAGGGGCGCACCTGGTCTGGGACAGATGGGTAGGTGGGTAGGACTGTGCTGAGAAATTTGACAGGTGAAGCAAAAAATCTTTTTGCTGTGGAAAAAAATTACATAGGGTTAGCAAGGGCTGGAGCGATAGCACAGCGGTAGGGCGTTTGCCTTGTACGCAGCCAGCCCGGCTGTGCCGGGTTCGATTCCTCCGCCCCTCTCGGAGAGCCTGGCAAGCTACCGAGAGTATCTCACCCGCACGGCAAAGCCTGGCAAGCTCCCCATGATGTATTCGATATGCCAAACACAGTAACAACAAGTCTCAAAATGGAGACGTTACTGGGCCCGCTCGAGCAAATCGATGAACAACGGGAGGACAATGACAGTAATCGTGACAGGGTTAGCAAAGATATTACAGTTGATAGGGTGCTTTTCTTTCCAGCAGCTAAGCAGATTCAATTAATCGACAGCACATGGGCTGCACTTGAGTCCTGCGAGGAACAATGTTTGAGCTCAGATCCTGGACTAAGCCCTGAACACTGAGTGTTATGAACCCAAATCTACAATTCAAAAATAGTAACGAAAATAGTAACAATAAATCAAAAACTTTCTGAGCAAAGGGGCTGGAGACATAGTATAGTGGGAGAGGTGCTTGTCTTGTAGGTGGAAAAACCAGATTGACTACAACCCTTGGCATCCCCTATGGTTCCCTGAGCACCACATGGAGTAAACTGAGTATAGCCCAAAAACAACTACTAAAAATTACTAAAATAAATTGATAGGGGCTGGAGAGATAGCACAGCGGGTAGGGCGTTTGCCTTGCATGTGGCCAACCTGGGTTCGATTCCCAGCACCCCATATGTTCCCCTGAGCACCGCCAGGAGTAATTCCTGAGTGCAAAGCCAGGAGTAACCCCTGAGCATCGCTGGGTGTGACCCAAAAAGAAAAAAAAATAAATCGATAAAGGCAAGGTAACCAATGGCAATCATATATTGTGCCGTGGGAGGGCTCAGGGCAGGCACTGAAAGTGTGGGGGTTACTTCCTGCTAAGATTGCACACTTGGGGGGCTGGAACAATAGCACAGCGGGTAGGGCGTTTGCCTTGCACGCGGCCCGGCCGACCTGAGTTCGATTCCCAGCATCCCATATGGTCCCCTGAGCGCCGCCAGGAGTGATTCCTGAGTGCAGAGCCAGGAATAACCCCTGTGCATTGCCGGGTGTGACCCAAAAAGCAAAAAAAAAAAAAGATTGCACATTTGGTTGCAGGACCCGAGGCCCCTACGTAGCCCTGATCCACCAGCCCCTCTGCCACCTGGCTCTGCATTCTCTTACAGCTTCCTGTGGGACCCCCAGAACCTACTGATGAGTGGGGAACAAGTGAAAGTCAAAAAGCTCCACCAAATACATTCACCCTAACCCCAAGAGGGCAGGAGGCTAGTAAACTGGGAGGACATTTGTCTTGTATACTGCTGACTAGGATTGAAGCTAGAATCCCATAGCTGGGCACTGAGAGGAGAGATCCCTGAGCTCAGAGCCAAGAGAACGGCCTGAATAAAGCAGATGTGGTTCCTCAAAACATGAGAGGAAGACCTGAAGAATGGAGGTTGGCCTGTTTTTTTTTTATTCCAAAGGATTCACTGCAACATCTTGGCTGACCTCTATCACAAACCCCGCAAACTAGGGCCTCTGAGTCAAGCCAGAGTCTGAGAAAAAAATGAGTGACAGCTCCCATCGAGGGTGGTTTTTGTGCCTGTTTCCTTGGTTATTATTTAATCAATTTCCACCTGAATTTCATCACCAAGACCCATTATTTATAAGTTTACACACGTCAAATCGAAATGCTGGGACTCTGGTATAGGAAATGCTAATCATTCCCAAGCCAAGGCATGTGTAATCATCAGCAACTACCCTTCCCTCATAGTGCTGAAGTCACCGGAGACACATCACACATTATCAGGGTTATTCCTTTCACGACTGCACTTTTGCAACCCCGAATCAACCTTGTCCAAGCAAAATTATTTTTTGAAGGGGATTACTATCAGAGACTATAAAACCCAGCTCCCGGAAGCGCGCGGCCGCATTTGCGGCCACGCGACATCTTATCATCTCATTCCCACTTTGGACAAACTGGCAGGCTACCGAATGTAACCTGCCCACACGGCAGAGTCTGGCAAACTCCCCGTGGCATACACAATATGCCAAATACCAGGAACAATGAAGGGTCTCATTCTCCTAACTCTGAAAGAGCCTTGAATATGGCACTTTTTTTAAAAAGTCTCAGGGCTAGGACGAAGGAGACATTACTGGGGCCTGCTCGAGGCAATCGACGAATAACAGGATGGTCGTGATTGTGATTGACTATTAGGGGATGGAGTCATCCAGTATGAATTTTACTAGGTTTCCTAAGGTCTGAAGGGAACACAAAGGCGTTCCCACATTCTCTACACATTTAAAGAGCTCTCGGCACTGTGTATTTTCATACGCTTACTGAGGCCTGAGCTCTTGGTGAAGGCCTTCCCACATTCCTTACAAACATAAGGATTCTCTCCAGTATGGATGTTAAGATGACTACAAAGACTTAAGGCATGATAATACGCCTTCCACATCTCTCATATTCAGTTTTACTGTAGCATGAAATCGCCTATGCTGATGAAGGTAGGAAGTACTGCTAAAGGCCGTCCCACAGTCCTGACATCTATATGGTTTTTCTCCAGTGTGAATTCTCCTGTGAACTGTAAGTACTGAAGATCTGCGAAAGGCCTTCCCACACTCCTGACATACAAAAGGCTTCTCTTTAGTATGAGTATTCGTATGGATCTTAAGGGCTGACGACCGAATGAAGGCCTTTCCACACACCTTACATTCATAAGGTTTCTCTCCGGTGTGAATTCTCCTGTGGATCTTAAGATACGAGGATGTGCCAAAGGCCTTCCCGCACTCCTGACACACAAAAGACTTCTCTCCTGAATGAGTTCTGCTATGTTCAATGAGCACTGAGGATGCACTAAAGGTCTTCCCACACTCCTGATATAAATAAGGCTTCTCTCCAGTATGAGTATTCATATGGGTCTTAAGGCCTGACAGTTGAGTGAAGGTCTTTCCACATGCCTTGCATTTATAAGGTTTCTCTCCAGTGTGAATTCTTTTGTGTACAGCAAGGCTTGAGGACGTGCTAAAGGCCTTCCCACACTCCTGACATACATAAGGCTTCTCCCCCAAATGAGATCTCCTATGTACAGTGAACCAGGAGGAATCCTTAAAGGCCTTCCCACAGTCCTGACACACATAGGGCTTCTCTCCAGTGTGAGTATTCATATGGATTTTAAGGGCTGACGATCGAATGAAGGCCTTTCCACACGACTTACATTGATAAGGTTTCTCTCCAGTGTGAATTCTCCCATGTTCATTAAGATGTGAGGTTCTGCTAAAGGCTTTGCCACACTCCTGACATACACAATCCTTCCCGCCGGTATGAATTTTCATGTGATACGAAAAGACTGAGGGATAATCAAAGGCCTTCCCACGTTCCTTGCAGATATACCTTTTCTCTCCAGTGTGACTTTTCTTGTGCCTAGAAAGGTTTGAGCAACGAGCAAAGACCTTCCCACAGTCCTGACATGAATACGGTTTCTCTCCAGAATGAGTCTTCCTGTGATGAGAAAGGTTTGAGGAACAAGTGAAGACCTTCCCACAGTCCTGACATGAGTAAGTTTTCATTCCTGTATGAATTTTCTTGTGGATACTAAGTTGTGAGGACAGGGGAAAGGCCTCTCCACACTGCTCACAGGCATGAGTTTTCTCTGCAGTAGGAACTCTCTTATGTCTAACACGTTTTGAATGGGAAATGAACGCCTTCCCAGATTCCATACACATAAACGGCTTCTTCTCTCTGGTTTGGGTCTTTGGACTGTCACACTGAGACGACCCCTGACTCAAAGTTTGTTCTCCAGGGAGACAATCCTGGGGATTCTGTCCACTGTGGGATGCTAAGGGAACATCCTGGTGCAGAGGACATGGGACGGCTCCCCCACATTCCTTACTCTTGGATGGGGTCAGTCCATGGTGACTTTGCTTGTGGGCCTGTCGGCATGTGGGACTCACTATAAATGGTGTTCTTCTCCCACAGTCCTGGGGCTGCCCCCTTGGGGGGGTTTGTGTCCAAAAACTGAGGACAACCGACTCTGAGGAATTTTTTCCAAGGGAGGGCTTCTTCAGAGTGAGGTCACTCTCTCCATTCTGATCACCCTCAGAAGACATCCTGTCTGTCTCGGCATCCCCATGGGACAGAGGGTGGGACTGCTCACTTGAGACATTGTCACAGAGTGTAGGATCAGAGACATTCCACCGGGGCTGGCTGCTTCCCTGTACAATGCAGAGGAGAATTCCAGTTATTGCTCCATTCCTTAAGAGTCGTCCTGCCAAAAGAAACCTGAGGCCTGCAGGTGGGTTTCTAACATTCCCACCACAAGGAATGCCATGCCTGACACGTGGATGGCTTTTCCATGGAACGACCCAATGATGTGCAATCATTAATTTGTTTACATTTCTTTTTCAACTCAATGAACAGATACATAAAATGGACATAAGGCCATCTGCAGAACACCAAAGAAGTAGTTTCCAGGAAAATAAAATACACCCGAGTCTGGGTTTGGTTGTAGCTCAGTGTGGAGCCTGCAATGGATGTATTAAGGCAAGGCTGCAACCCCAGACAGCCGAGATGAACCACAGGGGCCAGTGAAAACATCTCACCGCAAACGAATCCTCTTTAGGATTAAAGTGGGTTTTTGGGTTTTTTTTTTTTGTGGATTTCTTTGCTTTGTAGTTTGTATTTATTTTGAGTTGGGACACACCAAGTAGTGCTCAGGGACCACTGATGTTGAGTCCCGGGGACCAGCTGGAGTGCTCGGGATGGAGCCTACGTTTCTATCCTTGTGGAAAGCAAGTCAACTCCCAACGCACTATCACTGCGTGGCAACAAACCAGTTCTTTTCATCAGTTAACTTGTGCTTACTTTCAACCCATTGAAAAAAATCTCAGTATTTCTTTGAAATTAAAGATAGTAGGTATTGGGGCTGGAATGTTAGTACAATGGGGAGAGCATTTCCATTGCACGTGGTGGACCTGGTGTGATGCCTGCCATTCCACAAAGTATCCTGAGCACTTCCAAGAGTAATTCCTGAGTGTTGAGACAGAAGTCAACTATCTGCATCGCCGTGTGTGAATGAAAAAGCAAGACATAATAAAAATAACAAATAGGACTGGAGCGTAGGGCGTTTGCCTTGCACGCAGCCGACCGGGTTCGATTCCCAGCATCCCATATGGTCCCCCAAGCACTGCCAGGAGTAATTCCTGAGTGCAGAGTCAGGAGGAACTCCTGAGCATAGCTGGGTGTGACCCAAAAAGCAAAAACAAACAAACAAACAAAACCCCCCAAAAAACAAAAACAAATAATAGGAATACCTTTAGATTTTAAAATGACTGATTTTAGCACCCAGTGGGTCTATGGACCCTCCACTCCCAGCATTAGGCTACACAGTTCCTCTTTGCAGTGGCCAGAACTCCACCTTTCTCTCTTTTTTTTTTTTTTTTTTTGCTTTTTGGGTCACATCTGGCGGTGCACTGGGGGTTACTCCTGGCTCTGCACTCAGGAGTCACTCCTGGCGGTGCTCAGGGGACCATATGGGATGCCGGGAATCGAACCCGGGCCAGCCACGTGCAAGGCAAACGCCCTACCCGCTGTGCTATCTCTCCAGCCCCCCAGAACTCTACCTTTCAAGTCAAGAATTCTTGTTCCAATGAACTATCCTGCTGACATAATATTTATACAGCGTGCGAATCTTACCAACTCACTCGTGTGCGCTGATCCAATTCCCGAATCAAATCGCTGCGGTGAAAACCCTTGACGCTGCGATTTAACTTCTGAAATAAAACACAAAACATAATGGAAGAATTTGTAATGGAATGCAGTTGAATGAGGTCCATTATGGGGAATGCCGGGAGCAGCTTGGGAATCCACAAAAGAGCTTTATGAATTTTGTTGTTTAAACAGACCTGGTGTGGTGAAGGGACGGGTGTTTCATTGTATGACCGAGACTTAGACCCAAAAGCTTTGTAACTGCTCTCACGGTGATTCAATAAATAAAATTATAAAAAAAATTAAAAAAAAAGTAAGGTGGAGATCATGCACAATTCAATCAGCTAATCAGTGGCTGAATATATAGCAGTACTCCTACAAAAAATAAATAAATAGATAAATAAATAAATAAATAAAATAAACAGACCTGGTGATACCTGGGGACAATGTGGGATGCCAGGGATTCAACCTGGGTCTGCCACACGTGAGGCAACTACCCTCCCTGCTGTACCATCTCAAAGCAGCATTTTTTTTATAGGCTCATGCATTCACTATGTAAACAGAAAAGCAAAAGTGGATTAGAGGGGCTGGAGCGATAGCACAGCGGGTTGGGTGTTTGCCTTGCACGCAGCCGACCCGGGTTCGATTCCCAGCATCCCATATGGTCCCCCGAGCACCGCCAGGAGTAATTCCTGAGTGCATGAGCCAGGAATAACCCCCGTGCATCATCGGGTGTGACCCAAAAAGCAAAAAAAAAAAATGTGGATTAGAGAGAACAGCAGAGAGGGCATTTGCCTTGCATGAAGCTGACAGGGTCTGGTCCCTGAATACCACCAAAAGTAACCTCTGAGAGAACTGTCAGGAAAATTCCCAGGCTCAACGCCAAAAAAAAAAAAAAGACATTTGTTATTATACTGACAAAGCATGCTAATGATCTGAGGGAAATATAAGCATGAAAGAGAGGATAGAGGGGGTGTGTCCACCTGGTCCAGAAAGGAAAAACCATCATTGGAGGCTGTACTACGAACTGGTGAAGCACAGACTCAGGGGCAAGGGTTGTGAATCCCATGAATATTCTACATGCCTGACAGATAACGAATAATGAAGACAACGTCAAGAAAGAAAAGCGAGGCTCTCAGGGTCAGTAGCAGGTTTCATACGCACTCAGGGCACCCACACACTTCCCAAGGCCCAAACCAGGGAGAGTCCTCAGACACTCACCCGCACACACGCCTCTCCTCCCCGGCCTCAGGACTCCTCCTTCCAGCCAGGAGATAACAGCAGGCTTCACCCTGGAAAGCCCTGTCCCCACAGAGATAGGGTATTAACTAGTGGCAAGAAAAACGTGACAAGCCAACCTCATGTGTCCCTAACAAAATCAGGCACATTCCTGAAAAGGTTTGAAGAAAAAACTCCAGTTCTGATATTGGTAGTTATCAACCACATACGTTCCAGGTTTTAATTTCAGTCTGAAACTGAGTCGTGCTGAAGCTCCCCAAAAAGCACTGGAAGTGACTCCAAGCACTGAAATACAACAGCATCTGATGGGGTGAGGCCCTATAAATGAAATTAACTTGTGCTCAGAGTGACAGTACAGCAGGGCAGGCACCTGGTGACACACACAGATGGGTTTGACCCCTGGCAACCATATGGGCAAGGAGCATTGGTAGGAGAAATTCCTGAATGCATAACCATGAGTAATCAATCCGTAACACTGCTGAGTGTAGGCCCTGAATCAATGAAAGTTGAACCCCCCCCCAAAAAAAAATAAGTTGCAGGCCAGGTACAGTACAACATCAGCGGGTAAGGCACAGCCTTGTAGGTGCTAACCTGGTTTAGTCCACAACACCCCCATGGGCCCCTGAGCACTGCCAGGAGGAATGTGGACTGTGGCCCCGAATCAAAACCCAAAGCAAGGGGCTGGAGTGATAGCACAGCGGCTAGGGCGTTTGCCTTGCACGCAGCCAACATGACCGACACAGGTTTGATTCCCAGCACCCCATATGGCCCCCTGAGCACCGCCAGGAGCAATTCCTGAGTGCATGAGCCAGGAGTAACCCCTGAGCATCGCCGGGTGTGACCCCCCCCAAAAAAAAACCCCAAAGCAAAACCAAAACAAACACACTCAAGTGAAGGGTACTACAAGAAGTATATTTTTATCAATAAAAGGTAAAGGTAAAGGCCCTCCCGTTGATTGTCGATTTGCTCGAGCGAGCCCAGTAAAGTCTCCATTGGAGACTTTGTTGTTACTGTGTCTGGCATATCGAATACTCTCGGTAGCTTGCGGGGCTCTCCGAGAGGGGCGGAGGAATCGAACTCGGATTGGCCATGTTGACCACTTGTAAGGCGAACGCCCTACCCGCTATGCCATCGCTCCAGACCATTTTTATCAATGGAAGGAACTATTTAGAGGAACCCTAGCGATAGCACAGCACGTGGGGCGCTTTGTCATGCTCATGACTAACCTGGGTAGATCCCCTGCATTCCAGGAGGAAGCCTGACAATTGCCAACTCTGGCCAAATAACAAACACAGAAAAAAAGAAAGGAACATGTGAAACAGTTATCTGCATAGCTGACAATAATCTTGGCCTATCAGAATCACGACCCCTGGGGAACACACAGCCCAGC